ATTGTAAATCCTTTAAGGGCAGAGGTTGTATCTGAACACTGAATGAGTATCACCAATGACACTTCGTACCATCTGAGTATGAAATAGGTGCTCAATAAATCCTTTTTGAATGAATAAGGGCTTGATTGTGGAAGGTTTCTCAATTTTTGGCAAGAGAGTTCAAAAGGTGAAAAGCATTATTTGTTTTGATAGTTGGACTGTCTTTTTTAAACAAATAATTTACTGTGATTATTATGGACAGAAAACTCATCAGAGTGACCTTTTTGTGAGAAGAGTGATAAAGTAAGTGTGCTTTCATTTGCATTACTCTAGTTTTATTTAATTTCTTTTTTATGTGTTAAAAGCTCTTACTGATGACAGTCACTGAAATAAGTTATTAGATTGCGGGGCAGCCCAGTGCAAGGATAATCTAATTAATTTCCACTCTGACTCCTAATGATTATTACTTTTTCTGATGTTATCCTTGTGGTCTTACCATACCATTTAGTAGTTGGCTACAAATAATTTTTATATAGAATTTGTTCACCTCATCAGGGCAGAACCTATGTCTGCAAACACTGTGTACCCCACTGTACTGGAGACCCTAAATACTTGACTGATCCGTGTTCCAACCTCAACTTAGGTACAACTGAGAAATGAATAATATACCTACAGAGGAAAGTACCAGAAGGCTAATCTTTTATTTGACACTCAATTTGCATTTCATAATAATACTATGGCCTTGTATGTGTCTATAAAAGTTTACCTTTTAAATTCTTTCAAATTATAATCTTATTTCACTTTCTTTGGTATTTTATCCTACTGGTTCCTAACCTCTTATGATAATAGTGCCTCTGGTTGATTTTAAAAACTACATATGACACTTGTAGTTCAGTTTCTATTATTCTTTGTGTCAGAGCAGTTTTAAATAATCTTTTTATAGAAGACTTTTGATTTTGAAAATCATACATCATTTTCTTCAATTTTACAGTTTTGAAGGTTTTCTGTAGGTTTTAAAATATTTTTAGCATCTAAATTTTCTCAGCACACCGAATGATGAGTTGTAACCCACAAAGTTCATATATCATCACCACTGGAAATCATTTGAGTTGTACTAATAATACAAAGTTAAAGTTGCCACCAGTAGAAACACATCTATATCTATCTATATCATCTATCATATATCTAATCTATATCTAATCTATATCTAATCTATATCTAATCTATATCTATATCTATATCTATATCTATATCTATATCTATATCTATATCTATCTATCTATATCTATATCTATCTATCATCTATCTATATCTATCTATCTATCTATCTATCTATCTATCTATCTATCTATCTATCTATCATCTATCTATCTACCTATCTATCTATCTATCTATCTATCTATCTATCTATCTATCTATCAATCTATCTAGCATCTAGCATCTCTTATATCCTGTTACTCCCAGGGTCAAGAAACAGAATAAATGTCCTTGCTTATCAATTTCATTCTTCTTTTTCCTCATTTAAAAATCTTACCTTCTTTGAAGTACACACCATTCACCACCCACCACTTCTACCAACCTCCTGATCACTCTCTCTCATTCACTAAAATATTTAGCTTCCAGGTCATTCTTGTCATCCTCTCTACCCCTATTACAGTCATTATTCATAGTCAAAATTTGACTTCCACATAGATGACTCATCCAACATCCTGCCTTCCTAAATCACAAATCTCGTTTCCAAAAATCTGTTCTACACCTGCCTTGATCATCCACGGCCATGTTCATGCACACCCTAGACCTTGCTTTGTCAGTAATTATGTCAGCTCCTGATCTTCCAGTTAACCTACCTAGTACTTTCCAATTCCAAAAATCTGTTTAATCTAATGATAACTTCATATCCAGTTTTACTTTCATCCCTCTCTTGTTTCCTTCGTATCCACCATGGAGTCCATACTTAGGGGAGTGGCACCTGTAACAGTCTCATCTTGCCTGTCTCTCTCTTCTTCCCCTACCCCCCTCCTTCTATTAACTATCAATATATCAAACTTGATTTATACTAAATTATTTTTGTTCTCTGTGTCTTTTCTGGAGAAGCTATTTTTTGAAAATAAAAAAATCATACAATACTATATGGTTTTTACAATGAAGAGTATTTAATATTTCTTGCAAATTACATGCTATTCTTTTTTGTGGGGTAAAATTTATAATAAACGTATGTTTGTGATATATTTGTATCTTAATTTCCTCAGGAGTTTAACATGTTGTTAAATATTTGCCAGCACACCACTGCTAATACACATGTCATAGGTAGCATATCTACAGAAAGGACTCTCGATAGTCTCTTTTCACAGCCCTACTGATTATTGCTCCCTCAGTCTTCTCCATCTTGGTAAATGATAAAATCATTCCATCTGTTGGATAATTCTAAATCTAGTCATCATATTGGTTAAACCTTTTTCTTGGCTTCTTCATCCACACAATCGGTCCTGTCATTTCTACTTGAAAATAGAAGTCACTCTCCACTTCCAGTGCCTCATCTTAATCCAGGACACTGTTGTTCATCACCTGGACGACCAGAAATATCTCCAAACAGCACTTCATTCTCCCAGGCTTGTCCCTTTACATTCCATCACCCAGTGCAGTGATTTTTCAAAACTGTAGATCAGATAATGTTACTTCCTTGATGATAACACTTTGATGACGTCTCATTGCTTATTGTAAGAACTGATGCCTTTACTCGGACAGATATTCTTAGGCCACCAGACTTTTCATCTTTACCGTCCTGTACTAGGAATGATATGAAAAGTACTTCCTCTGAAGACTGGTAATACACACAGAATGTGCAGCAAGCCATTCTTAAGTGACATGGTTCTGTTGCTACCTCCCTCTAACAAAGAGGGGGGGGTCATGCCAAGATTGAATGAAAGATCGGAATTCACACATTTACTGTTTTTCTATTGTGCAGGTTATCAGTTTTCAGTTGCATTCAATTATAATAGCAGAAATTCCCCCAGTTTCCCTTGGCTTATGCTTATTTTCAACTGCTTTGCGCAAGGGTGAGTTTTTCACCAGAGGAGGTGTTAGAGCACCTCGCCTTTTGAGTTTACTTGCTCTAAGCAGGTGCTACCATAGAGCTGGCTTTGAAACATTATGGTGTGTTGTGTGTGTGTGAGAGAGAGAGAGAGAGAAAGAGAGAGAGAGGGAATGTGCTCAAGTGTCTCTGGCACAACGACTACTAAAACCCTATGTGACACAGGTCCTGCTTACCTATTTGGCTTCACTCAACACTCTACCTCTCACTATCACCCTTCCCCCTTTTAAACATAGTTGGGTCCTTTTCAAGGACCTTTTCACTTAATATTACTCATGTTCTTTGTCTAGAGCAGAATGGAACCCTCCATCCTTGTATATATCTGGTTCTTCACCTTGTGGATTACAGTTCAAGCATCACCTTCTCCAAGAGGCTCTCCAGACCTCCAGACCTCAAATTACTTCCCTTCACACCTGCACTACTATCAATTTATCATCTAGTTTATTTCTTTTTTATCACTTATTAAATTCTGAAATTATGTTGTTTGTTTATCTTTGGTATGCCTGTGTCCCACACCATAATACAAGCTTTATGAGGGCAATGATTTTGCCCGGTACTATTCACCATAGTGTCCCCAGTGTTTACAGCAGTGCTTGCATGTAATAGGCAATCAATCAACAATTGTTGAATGAATAAATGAATGAATGGCAAATATCCAATGACATTAAAATCACAGTCCTTAGGAAAGACTCTCCATGAAGAAATAATGTTTGTGAAGGATTCTTCTGACATAAAGGAAACACCCAGGCATGAGTTGGATGCAGTCATAAGAGGCCTGATTTCATGGCTAGGTGCATGCATATTACTAATCACTGAGTACCTTCTCAAGCACCACCAATTGCCTGTGATTTCCTTTTCTTTCTTGAGCAGGTCCCAGGGACTTCATTTTTTTTCTCTTCTGGCAGTGCCCCTTATCATACTATATATTGTTTTCTGTTTCTTCCAAAGCTGCTTTCAGTGTGGAAGACAATATTTTAGCTACCTACTGTAGTTCTCCCTTTAAATACATACCTCTAAGTTTTGTCTATGTTGGTTCACAATCTTGGGAGTTCCTGGGCAAAATATGAAACTGGCCACTGTATGTGGAGGGCAAGGAGAGACCAAAGGAAAAGGCAGACCACTCTAGATTGATAGGTGGCAGTTTCAGTAAGGAAGGGAACTTACTAGGCTTTTCTTGGGTGCTGCAGATGAGTAGATCTTTGCACCCACCTGCCAGATTCTTAAAAGTTTACATAGAGACCTTAAGTCAGTCACATACACTGCCCAGTCACATGTACTGTCCAGGTAGTGTCAACAACACATTGCTCTCTCAAGGCTGTGTCTTTGAAAATGGTTCCCACTGTGGGAGCAATGGGCAGAGCTTACATTTCAAGGACAGGGAAGAGAGTGAAGAGCCTCCAATTGCCAGGTCCAGCTTGAGGAACAAACTAGTGTTCACATCCTCTTATTAGCTCCTCCAACAACCCATTTTAGGGATTCCCCTATTAATTACTCAAGGAAGTCAATAGGGGATGACACAAATAAATAAAATAAGCACATACTGGAAGTCAAAGAATCTCGCAAAGTTGCTTGATGAAATTATAAATCTATCATTCATAGTTCCCTTGCAAAGATGATTTTTTCAAGGTGAGAATTTTATGTTAGTGGGATGACTAATCAGTGAGGATTCAGCCACTTTTGGTATTTTAAGCAGAAAGATATTTAATAGAGTGAGTGAAAAGGCTTAGACAACCACTGGGAAGGCAGAGTAGTGAGGGTGCTATGAGCTTTCAAGTTTGTTCTAGAAAATCAGGAGGCTGATGCTGTTCTCTCCTCAGGAATCACTGGGAAACTCCCTCATACTCTCGTAGCTTCCCAGCCACGTGGAGGTGAATACTGTCAGGTGGGAACTTAAAGTAGGACACCTGGAGGCCACTGTAAAGCCTCTTACCTGCTGAAGGCCATGCATCCATTCACCACGGCTTTTGGAAGATAAAGGCAATGGATTCTGCTTCTCTTCTGCTTTCGAAATCTCATACAAAGTTACTGCATTGGCAGAACGTCATTCACATTTAGGTCCTAGAAACAGAGATGTCTGGATCAGATATTTCCCAGGCTCTTAGCCCCTAATATTCAGGGTAGGAAGAAATTCTGGTTGCCAAAACAAACAAGCAATAACCTAGACAAAGTAACCCCAAGTAAATTTCCCCTTCCCTACCTCCAGATGAATGGGAACAGATTCCTAAGAATACCACTTTCTTCTTAAGGGAATTTTGATTAAAAGGTTCTTGTTTCATTAAATATTTGATTTAGTCACAATTCCTTATATCCACTTTTCCTGTTTATCTGACATACATCAAAAAAGATAAGACCATTTTGTGAGGAAATGTGAAAGGGTTAAAGGGCCAAATGGAATTTTCATTCATTCTGGTTCTTGAAGATTTGAAAATGAAGCGAAAATATTGTTCCCTATTTTATACTACTTGAAAACCTAGGTGTAGAGACAAGGTTAAAGCACAGAGAACAAATTGAGAGCAAATATGTTGCATGATGAAAACATGCTTGGCTTTGTAGCTTTTCTTACAAGGAAGAAAACAGTAAAATGTTTGGAATAATGGAAGAATTACTGTCAGAGCCTTAAAGATCAATAGTACTTGGAGTGGTGAGAGGAAAGAAGAGTATTCAAAGTGCATGTATGGATGAAAAAATGATATAAGCGAAGGCTGGAATGAGCATGTGGAAGAATAGTGAGAGGTTTACTAACAACTTAATCTCTTGTCTCTAAATACATTTGTTTAAGTTGAGGGGGAACAGAGTTTGTTTCTCCAAAATATGCCTCTTTGGGATATTGATTTTTTAAAGTTTGTTATTTTTTAGAAACAAAAGACTCAGGAAAAACCTTTGACTTTCCCCATAATTGCCTAAAAGGGATTTTGGTAGAATATTTGTTCCAGAAAGGGGGTATTATCATAGATAACTAGACTTTAGAATGAACTAGTGTGTGACAGAGAGAAACCTAGCAAGGTACAATGAACAGAAGTCCTCTGTGTGTCCCTCTGTTAAAGATGCCCCAGCCAACATTTGTTTACCATCTCCATGTGAATTGCCTTCCTGCCCTTTGAAGTCCAAACCCACAACTTACCCCCATTCCCTTCTCCTTCACTCTAAAAGGACATAAAAGCTTCAACTCCCCACTGTGTCTTCTGGTCTCATATTCTTGTGGCACCCCCCACATATGTATTAAATTTGGACATTTTCTCCTATTAAATTTGTCTTATGTTAATTTGGTTCCAGCCAGAAAAACTTAGGTGAGAGGAAAATTAATTTTTATACCCCGGCAAAATGTTAAGCACTTTATTAGAAGTATAGAGAATAGTTCTCAATCTTAACTATTTGAGACAATTTATAAAATTCCCAAGCCCCATGACCAGAGATTCTGATTTAGTAGGGCCAAGATGGTACCCGGGAGTCTGTATATTTATAATCCTTCATAAGTGATTCTGGCCATGAGTCAGGTTGGAGAATCACTGCCCTATGGGCACATAGTGACCATATTGTTCTGTGATCTGGAGTTATAAATTCCTGCAAGCATCTTCCATACAGTTTGGAGGACAGGACAGGTGTTATATGTTGCTTCCACCTAGGCAACTCAGCAGACTAGCATAGAAGTTGTGTAGAGAAAAGCCTTAGGTCACAAATTATGAGCTTCCACCAGAACTTCTATCCTCTCTGAAGCAAGAAGAAAGAAGTTTCTTCATGCTTCATCGCCTTTGGAGATCAGAGGAAGGCAGGAAAAAGGAAGAAGAAAAGAGGATGACACGGGGGGGGGGG